TTCTCTTACCTCAGTCTCCCAAGTAGGTGGGACTACAGGTGTGCCCGCCTCAATGCCTGACTATTTTTTTGTTGTTGTTGCAGTTGTCATTGTTGTTTAACTGGCCTGGGTCTGGTTCAAACCCACCAACCTCAGTGTATGTGGCTGGCTCTGTAACCACTGTGCTATGGACGCCGAGCCCATTCTTTTTGATTTTAGCCATTCTAATAGGTGTGTAGGGATAGCTTATTATGGTTTTAATTTGCATTCTCCTGCTGGCTAATGATGTTGAGTACCTTTTTGTATACTTAATTGTCATCTGTGTCTTCTTTGGTGAAGTGTCAGTTGAAATCTTTTGCCAATTTAAAAAAATTGGGTTGTGTTCTTTCTTTCTTTCTTTCTTTCTTTTTTTTTTTCCTTGAGAGACGAGGTCTTGCTCTGTTGCCCACGTTTGAGTGCAGTGGTATAATCATAGCTCACTGCAACCTTGAACTCCTAGACTTAAGTGATCCTCATGCCTCAGCCTCCTGAGTAACTAGGACTATAGACATGTGCCACAACACCAGGCTAATTTTAAATGTTTTATAGGGACAAGGACTCATTGTGTTGCCCAGGCCAGTTTCAAATTCCTGGCCTCAAATGTTCTTCCTGCCTTGTCCTCCCTGTCCCCCCCCCCCCGTTTTCTTGAGACAGAGTTTCACGATGTCACCCTCAGTAGAGTGCCACGGATCACAGCTCACAGCAACCTCAAACTTTTGGGCTTAAGTGATTCTCTTGCCTCAGACTCCCAAGCAGCTGGGACTATTGGTGCCCACCACAACACCTGGCTATTTTATTGTTGTTGTTGTTGCAGTTGTCATTGCTCATTAGCTGGCCTGGGCAGGGCTTGAACCCACCAGCCTCTGTGTACTTGGCTGGTGCTGTAACCACTGTGCTATGGGCACCAAGCCATTTTTCTTTTTTTTTCTTTTTATATCTGACTCTTTGTTTACGGGTTCTACTTTATTTTTTTTTATTTAATTTCTGGCTAATTTTTATATTTTTAGTAGAGAGGGGTTCTCACTCTTGCTTAGGCTGGTCTTGAGCTCCTGACCTCAAGGGATCCTCCTGCCTCAGCCTCCTAGAGTGCTTGGATTATAGCTGTGAGCCCCTGTACCCAGCCCAGAGAGGCCCTTTTGACCTTTTAAATTCTCTTTATGTTCAGCTGTGAAGATTTAATTCATAATTTCTATCACTGTTTGTATGTTTTTAAGATAAAAATGAAGGGAGAACATGGAAATACAAGCAGCTTTTTTTTTCTAACCTATTTCATACTTAAATAAAAGGAAGGAGATTAGCTCCTATTCTTATTATTTAAAAAAGAAAGGAAAAGAAGTTAAAAAAAAAAAAAAGGAAGGAGAAAGGGAGAGCAACATGAAAAAATTCTCTTGGGGGTTCTACTTGCTTAACAAAAGCCAGCGGGGGGTGAGGCTATGCCTCACTCCTTGTAAAAAAAGGAAGATGCTCACTCAGTATCTCAGCCTACCTTCAGCAGCATTTCAGTGCTCAGCAGGCTCTAAACCCTTTGGCTTAGCAACGTCTGCATTCTGAATGACCATAATACAAAATTACAGGATTATGTTAATATTATTCTAAGATTTTTAAATTCTCTCTTTCTCTTTTTTTTTTAAGAGACAGAGTTTCGGCTCGGCACCTATAGCTCAACCGGCTAAGGCGCCAGCCACGTACACCTAAGGTGGCGGGTTCGAATCCCCAGCCCAGACCCGCCAAACAACAATGATGGCTGCAACCAAAAAAAATAGCCGGGCATTGTGGCGGGCGCCTGTGGTCCCAGCTACTTGGGAGGCGGAGGCAGGAGACTCGCTTGAGCCCAGGAGTTGGAGGTTGCTATGAGCTGTAATGCCATGGCACTCTACCCAGGGGGACAGCTTGAGGCTCTGTCTCAAAAAAAAAAAAAAAGAGACAGAGTTTCACTTTATCGCCCTTGGTAGAGTGCTATGGCGTCACAGCTCACAGCAACCTTCAACTCCTGGGCTTAGGCGATTCTCTTGCTTCAGGCTCCTGAGTAGCTGGGATTACAGGCACCCACCACAAGGCCCAGCTATTTTTTTTTATCACAGTTTGGCTGAGGCCGGGTTTGAATCTGCCACCCTTGGTATATGGGGCCGGCGACCTACCCACTGAGCCATAGGTGCTGCCCAGATTTTTTAATTCTTATTTATTTATTTATTTATTTTTTTGAGATAGAGCCTCAAGCTGTCACCCTGGGTAGAGTGCCCTGGCATCACAGCTCACAGCAACCTCTAACTCCTGGGCTCAAGCCATTCTCCTGCCTCCGCCTCCCAAGTAGCTGGGACTACAAGCGGCTGTCACAACACCAGGCTATTTTTTTTTTTTTTTTGTGCAGCCATCATTGTTTGGTGGGCCTGGGCTAGATTCAAACCCACCAGCTTAGGTGTATGTGGCTGGTGCCTTAGCCGCTTGAGCCACAGGCACTGAGCTGATTTTGGAATCCTTATTGAGACAGGGTCTCACTGTATTACCCAAACTTGCCTCCAATTCTAGGACTCAAGTGATCCTCTTGCCTTAGCCTCCTGAGTAGTGAGGATGATAGAATCATGCTACCATGCCTGGCTTGAATTCTTTCATTAAACAATATTTTAGTGATTTAGTATGTCTGTGGAAAAGTGCAATGTGGAATCTGCTGTAATTTTTTTTTTTGAGACAGTCTCATTATGTCACCCTTGGTAGAGTGCTGTGGCATCATAGCTCACAGCAACCTCAAACTCTTGGGCTTAAGTGATTCTCTTGCTTCAGCCTCCCAAATAGCTAGGAATACAGGCGGCTTCCACAACACCTGGCTATTTTTTGGTTGTAGTTGTCATTGTTGTTTGACAGGCGTGGGCTGGGCTGGGTTCGAACCTGCCAGCCTCCGTGTATGTGGTCAGCCCTAACCACTGAGCTACGAGTACTGAGCCTCTCCTGTAATTTATTAGATATGCAATCACTACCCACTCCTGCTAATTAGTGTGAGGATGTATGACATGATTAGAAAAGATGATGAAATAGCCTTTGGACACTGAAATACTAAAGCAAAGGAAAGAACCTAAGAATAGGAGAGTCACCATTAATTGGACTTTGAAAGAGATAACTGGAAAAGAGAGAACGGAGTATGAGTTCTTACCCTGGAGTGTTCTAACTTCTAGAAGGATTTAAAAAAAACAAACTGGAAGGCTTAAAGAAGCCTTTAATATGGGGGGCTGGGTGCAGTGGCTCATGCCTATAATCCTGTCACTCTGGGAGGCTGAGGCAGGTGGATTGCCTGAGCTCACAGGTTCAAGACCAGTCTAAGCTAGAGCAAGACTTCATCTCTAAAAATAGCTGGGCATTGTGATGGGCACCTGTAGTCCCAGCTACTTGGGAGGCTGAGACAAGAGAATAGCTTGAGCCCAGGAGTTTGAGGTTGCTGTGAGCTATGACGTTGTGACACTCTACCAAGGGTGACAAATTAGGAAAAAAGAATGCCTGGCAGATAGATCTTCTGTATTTGTTTACCTGGGGAATAAATGAGTCATTAATAGTAAATGGGTATTTGAGGTTTCTGGTGATTAGGAAAAAAGAATGCCTGGCAGATAGATCTTCTAGTATTTGTTTACCTGGGGAATAAATGAGTCATTAATAGTAAATGGGTATTTGAGGTTTCTGGTGATTAACCCAAGAAACATTTAATAAATGATTTCTTCTAAAAGAGGTATTAAGTTTATTTTGCATGATTCCAGACGGCAGGGAGGAAGAAAGCATCCACCTGGTCAGTCAGATTAGCTAAGTAAATCCTGAGTGAGTTGCCAGCAGATGTCCCCTTAGATTCTAGAGTAAATACTGAAGTTTTAAGTGAGCGAGGTTGTCTAGGAGAAGAGTGAAAGAGAGAGGACTCGGTGTATGCTTTACTATTAGTGATTGTCAGTCAATTACATAATTAGCTGTGTTTGTAAAGTTATAATTTCCATTTAATAATTTATAATATTTATGTTTGTCTTTTATAGGAGTGGTTCTAATTAAAGCCCAGATTTCAGAGCTGGCATTTCCTATTCTAGCAGCTCAGAAGATAGTTCTAAATGCTCACAGTTCTCTGAAGACTATTTTCTCTTCTCTTCCCAACATTCTGTATACTGGCTGTGCAAAATGTGGATTGGAACTAGAAACAGATGAGAACAGGATCTTCAAACAATGTTTCAGCTGCTTGCCACTTACTATGAAGAGACAATACTATAGGTAAGGCAACTAAGCAAGCCAGTTTGATGGAAAACACTCATTGTTATAGGACTGGAAATGACTAGGAGATTAGATATATCAGTTCTTACATTCTAACAAGAACTAGCTGGAGCTAATTCAAGAGAATAAAATATCCCTTGAGTGACAAGTAGCTATTTATGATAGCAAAAAATTGCCCAAGAGTCCTAATAGGAATTTTAAAAGCAGTAATTGGGAGATTTTATTGTCTTATAATAGCTATACTGAAGAAACTTTTTGCTTGATTTATACTTTTAACCAGATCTAAATGACTCATAAACAACCTATCTTATTATGTAATTAGAATTTAAAGGTTAAAAGTATATGATCTTTCCTCTGAGTTATTGTAGAAGTTAGTAAGATGTTTATCTTTTCTTTACCTGTCTTCTCACCTTTACCTTAGAAATTAAAGATAGCAAATAAATGTTCTGTGGTAAAATTGCTAACCAGCTCAGTGAAAAAAACACATAATTTTTCAAATAATAAACCATCAAAGTCTTAGGTAATTTTTAAATTTTTATCTAATAAATCATATACTTTTATAAAGTAGCACTAAGTGCTTTATGCTCTTTCTGATTATTTCTAAATACTATAGTATCTAAAAACTAAATGCAGATCTGTTTTGCATGTTACCATGCCACACTTCAAGGAAATTCACAGTAGTTCCAAAGCTTTACTTCCCTTCATAACTTATGTTTGTTAATAAATAAGTGAATCAACTTTGCTATTACTTTGAAAGTTCCTTTTGTGGAAAAGATTAAAGTAAGATGTATGGTATATAACAAACATTTAAAATTTCTTTCTTTCTTTCTTTTTTTTTTTTGAGATGGAGTCTCATTTGTTGCCCAGGCTAGAGTCCCTTGGCCTCACTCTAGCTCACAGCAACCTCAAATTACTGGATTCAATCAATCCTCCTGCTTCAGCCTCCCAAGTAGTTGGGACTACAGGTGCCTGCCACAGTGCCCAGCTAATTTTTCTATTTCTAGTCGCAATGGGACCTTGTTCCTGTTTAGGCTGGTCTCAAACTCCTAAGCTCAATGAATCCTACTGCCTCAGCCTCCTGGAGTGTTAGGATTACACGTGTGCTCAGACTAAAATTGATTTCTTGGCTCGGTGCCTGTGGCTCAAGTGGCTAAGGCGCCAGCCACATACACCTAAGGTGGCGGGTTTGAATCCAGCCCGGGCCCGCCAAAACAACAATGACGGCTGCAACCAAAAAATAGCCGGGCATTGTGGCTGGTGCCTGTGGTCCCAGCTACTTGGGAGGCAGAGGCAAGAGAATAGCTTGAGCCCAGGAGTTGGAGGTTGCTGTGAGCTGTGATGCCATGGCACTCTACCCAGGGGGATAGCTTGAGGCTCTGTCTCAAAAAAAAAAATAAATAAATAAGTAAAATAATAAAATTGATTTCTTTTCTCTCTCTCTCTCTCTTTTTTTTTTTTTATTAAATGATACCTGTGTACATTAATGCAACCATGGGGTACAGTGTGGTGTTTTCATATACAATTTGAAATATTTTCATCAAACTGGTTAACATATCCTTTACGTCATTTTCTTAGTTATTGTGTTAAGACATTTATATTCTACTCTTAGAAAGATTCACTTGTACCCTTGTAAGATAAACCATAGAAGTGATCCCTCCAATCACACTCCCTCCACCCATCCCCACTTCTCTCCCCTTCTCCCCTCCCCATATTCTTAGGCTATAATTAGGTTATACCTTTCATATGAAAGCTATAAATTTGTTTCATAATAGGACTGTGTACACTGGATACTTTTTCTTCCATTCTTGTGATACTATGCTAAGAAGAACATTTTCCAGCTCTATCTAAAATTGATTTCTTATCAGTAGTTAAGACTCCTCAAAAGTATGTGTAAGTGACATTTTATATCATTAAAAATGTTTTATTCAATATGATTATTTTTATTTATTTGTTTTGAGACAGAGTCTTACTTTGTCACCCTTGGTAGAGAGCTATGGTGTCACAGCTCACAGCAACCTCGAACTCTTGGGCTTAAGTGATTCTCTTGCCTCAGCCTCCCAGGTAGTTGGGATTACAGGCGCCTGCCACAACACAGGGCTATTTTTTTGTTGCAGTTCTCATTGTTGTTTAGCAGGCCTGGGCCAGGTTTGAACCTGCCAGCCTTGGTGTATGTGGCTGGCACCCTACTCACTGAGCTATGGACGTCACCTTGTTTACTTATTTAAAAGCCTTTAAGTTGTTTTTAGGTTTAGAGTCCTGATTATTGGTTTCTTTGAGAAGAAAGTGTTGAAATTAAACAACAAAGTCCCTTTAAATGATCAAGTATGTGATTCACAAATCATCTACATAAATCAGTCAGCAAATTGAATAAGTGGAAGCTCTTATTGTTTATTTTTATAGGACTTAAGCAAAAACTTATTAGATATCCACATATATTTACCTGATATTTAATACTGTGGATGTTATACTGATTGATAGTATACTTCTTTCTTTCTTTTGTTTTTTTTAGAGATAGTCTCACTTTATCACCCTTGGTAAATTGTTGTGTCGTCACAACTCACAGCAGCCTCCAACTCCTGGGCTTAGGTGATTATCTTGCCTCAGCCTCCTGAGTAGCTGGGACTCAGCTACTATAGGTGCCTGCCACAATGCCCGGCTATTTTTTGGTTGCAGTTTGGCCAGGGCCAGGTTTGAACCCGCCAGGTATATGGGGCTGGTGCCCTACCCACTGAGCCACAGAAGCCGCCTCAATAGTGTACTTCTTGTATCCAAAACACTTGTTGATACATTTAAGAAGGACTTAATGAAAATTTGTATGGCGTAACAGCCCCAAACTGTGAGTAGATTGATCACATTTTACATTTGTTATTTGTAACTTGGAGCTAATTTTCCAATAGAAGCAACATTAGATATTGTGTTGAAGTCTCATACCAGGCCACAGATATTTATTGAATGAGCATGTAGGTAGCATGCTTGTTCTTGAAGCTATCATAGAACTTGAATAGCATGTTTATTAATTTATTTATTTTTTGAGACAGAGTCTCAAGCTGTCCCCCTGGGTAGAGTGCCATGATGTCACAGCTCACAGCGACCTCAAACTCTTGAGGCTTAAGCAGTTCTCTTGCCTCAGCCTCTCCCAAGTAGCTGGGACTACAGGCGCTAGCCACAATGCCCAGCTATTTTTCTTTGTTGTTGCAGTTGTCATTGTTGTTTCATCTGGCCCAGGCTGGGTTCAAACTTGCCAGCCCCAGTGTATGTGGCTGGTGCCCTACCCACTAAGCTGTGGGTGCTGCCTGAGCAACATCTTTAACAGTGTTTCTACAGGATATGTGTTCAGATTTACATTTTTGGAACACAAGAAATAATTTTTTTTCCCTTCTGTATTAGATTCAGTAGAGACTAACAGGTCAAACCACTGGTTAGTCCTACACAGGCGGCCCTAGTAGGTGTTGTATCTCTCCAGAGGTTGCAGTCAAGTTGTGGGCTGGGGCTGTAGTCATCTGAAGATGTGACTGGGATTGGAGGATCCATTTCCAAGGTGGCACACTTACATGGCTGGCAAGTTGAGTTCCTCTTCACCTGAGTGTCTCTGAGAGTGCCGGGTGGAAGCTACCCTTTTTATGTCATAGCCTTAGAAGTCCCATGGCATTACTTCTGCCAAATTCTGCTCCTTAGAGTGAGCTGCATGGTGGGGAGTGGATTGAAATGAGGCCAGTGTGGAGAAGAGTTAAGAGGCCATTTCCTTTCATTTCGGGGAGAGATGATGGTAGTTTGACTAGAGGGTAAGTGGTGAGAATGGACAGGTTTGAGAGTTTTTGGAAAATAGAATTGGCAAGACTTAGTGAATGAGTGGAAGGTACAGGGAGGTCATGGATATGTGATAGATGATGGACAATTGCATGAATAATAGTTATTAAAACAAGTAACAGTGGCAAAAATGCTCATTCCATATGGAATTTGAGTTGCTGAGAGGCAAAAAGTTGGAAAGCAGTTAGATAAACAGGAATGCTGTTCAGAAAAGAAATCTGGGCTGGGTTTACAAGGATGAGAGTTATCTTGTGGTGATTGAACCCTTCATTGATTTCTGCCTCCTTTTTGTTCTTTCTTCTCAATCTTCAGTTATTAACTCTCCTAGTGGATCATTCCTGCTGGGCTATAAACATACTCTGGTATCTCTCATATTGAAAATACATAAAATCATCTACTACTATTACATTTCCCTGTTATCACCCAGTTGTTCTGTTCTGCTTTGTACCCAGCTAAATCTCGTGAAAGAGTTGTAAATACATTCTCTCTCCTCTTCTGTATCTCCGATTCACTTCCACTTACTCCATTCTGTTTCCACCATGCCTCAGGAACTGTGTTTGCAAAGGCTACCAAGAATTTTGATGCTTCCTAATCCATAGATGCTTTCCTTTGTCCTCTAATTTGCTCTGAGTTACTTTCAGCATCTTAGACTACTTCCTCTTTCTGGAAATAGCCTCCTCACCTAGCTTCAGTGACACCTCCGTCTCCTGGTTTCTAACCTGCCTCTCAGGCTCTTCCTTCTCAGCCTCTTTTACCTGCTCTTTCAATATCAGGATGAATTCTGGTCCTCTTATTTGTCCTTTTTCTTCATTTGTTCTTTCTGTATATTCTTCCTGGATGGCCCCAACTATTCTGTGTTTTAAATATCATCCATAAACTGGTGGCTTGCACTTACACCCCCACCTTGGCTTTCTCTTTGAAGCTCCAGTATTAAAAATCACACTCTGTACTTGACAGTCCTACTTGAATATTTCATAGGCATCTCACAGTTATGCATGTCCAGGATGGACTCTTCACTTTCCTCATCATATTCAAATCTGGTTCTCCCATTTTTGTATTTCTTGACAAATGGCATCACCATCAACCCATTTATATAAGTTAGAAACCTGCACATAATCCTTGAATCATTCTCTTTTTCTTACCTCCACTGTCTAATCTGTTGGCAAGCCCTAAGAATTTTCACCCAGAACTTT